TTCTTCCCGATTCCATTTCTAGTGAGGGCTTTGCTCAATTTCTGGCTTCCAAAACAGGTTTTGGAAACTTGTTCATAATATCTACTAAAGTTGGGTGGCAATTGATTCTCTGGACCATCAGTTCTGTTCCTAAGCATATACCCTAGAGAAATGGAAATGTGTTCTCATAAAGACTTGTACAAGAATGTTCATAGCATCTTTGCTCACCATAGCTGAAAACTGGAAACAACCCAAATGTCCATCAGCAGGAGAATGAACAAATTATAATCCAATCATTTGTCTTATTTGTGTAATGGAATATTATTCAGCAATAAAAAAGAACAAAATATCACGCCATCTAATGGAATGGATGGAACTCAGACATAATGGATGAGTGAAAGAAGGCCAATGCAAAAGAGCACATACTGTAATTTTCCATTTATAAGAGGTTCTTGAACAGGCAAAATGAATTCATGATGAGAGAAGTCAGAAAATGATTACCTCTAGGGCCAAGAGAAGTGGGGTGAGGGGGATTTTTGAAGGAGTGGGAATTCTGGTGTGCACATGGCTAGAGGCTCATTGAGATCCTCACTGGGTTTATCTTTTTGGCTGCATGCCCATTATGTTTAATAACAAGGAGAAAATCCACTATAAAAATGAGGAATGAACTTAGTACTTTGCCTCATGGTACTTACCCTGCGTGCAATCACGTAGATTCACCTGCACGATTATGTGATGTGTGTCGGTTGTCCCCAATAGCCTCGTGCTCTGGCACGTGCCTGTCTTGCTCATTCTCGTGTTCCCGGGGTCTGCACAAAGCAGGCTCTTGGCAAGTGTTTGCTGGGTGCATGCACGAGTGTTGGATTGTAACCAAGCTCTGGACCCCATGTGTGGGGGGAGGGAGAGAAGCCATCCACTCTGGTCAAGGGGCAGGGTTGCTTCACAGAGGAGAGGCCATCTGGGACACAACTTGAAGGCTCTGTGAGATTTTTCTCAGGCAGCACAAAGGAGGAAACACATCAGTTCTGTTCCTAAGCATATACCCTAGAGAAATGGAAATGTGTTCTCATAAAGACTTGAACAAGAATGTCAGCAGAGAAGCTTGTACTTGCAATGGTGGCCGCAAGAGCACAGGGCATCTGGGCTTTTTGTTGTGTGGAGGTGGTAGGAGCCCTGGCTGGTGACTGCGGAAGGAGGTGAGGGTCAGAAGGTAGGCCGTGCCTTGTTATCTGACCCAAAGGGTTTGGTCTTTAGTGTGCGGTAATCATGGAAACTTTGAGATATAGCTGTCACCAAACTGAATCAGCATTTTAGAAAGTTTGCCAACTGGACCCCAACAGCACGAACCAGTTCTTTGTGGAGGCAGGAAGGCAAAGGCCCCTCAGGTTCTTGCTCAGACTAGGAGATGGACCACCAAGGATGAACCTGTCTTGGGCACCCTGGTGGCACCCTAGGGTCTGCTAGGCTGAGCCTGGGCCCGCTGGGCTGGTAGAGCAGCGCCACCTACTGGTGGGTCCTGCACCTGCACTTTGTGGTCCATCTGCTTCCTCCACAGCCTTGGGGTCCTGGAGGGGCACAGACCAGGGCTGTAACCCAAGAAGGAGGGACAGGAAGAGAGCTTTTTTGGAATTTTGGGGTTCTCCTACGGGTATTGGAAAGAAAATTTTTCCTTTTCACTGAACAAAGACAAATTGAAGTTACTGGGCGTGGGACTGATTCTGCCTGGACTGATTCTTATTCCCCCACCTTTCGGCATTTGAGACTTTGAGAAAGTTCCTTAAGCTCTTTGTGCCTCTGTTTCCTCATCCGTAAGTTATGGATGACAACGGTGTAGCCCACTCAGCCTGGGGCCCGGCACTCCCTGAGGGCTCAGGGACATCTATTTTTCATTGTCTATTATTATTGCCACATTATCACCCAAGGGCTGAAGGGTGACAGCATGTGACACAGAGGGCAGAGGGATCTGTCCCACCTGGAAGGACTGGTGCATGTGGTTGAGCAGCCTGGACTCTCTCCCTGCCACCGTGAGGCTACTCAGAGGGGGATGCGATCAGATCTGTGTCTGAGCAACCGTCTCCATTGTCAAAGCCTCATCCCGGCATCTGGGTCCCCACAGTATCCTCATCCAGGACAGGAGCTCAGGGAGGTCACCGTGCAGTTAGCACAGTGAATTAGGGGCGGAGTCAGAAGCTGACTCCCGTCCCCGCTGCCCGGCTTGTCCTGCCTGTGCATGGGAGGCACCCGATGGTGTCACCAGCAGTCTGAGAACTATCAATGACCCTTTCCCCTGCCCTGGACATCAACACTGGACAGAGTCTGAAGATTTTCTAGTCACTTAGTTCATCTTATTTCAAGAAACTGCCTCTTTTATCTAAATTAAGGTTTCTCCCCTCTTGCAGCTGGACCCTCTTCTGGCTGGAGACCTGCAGTAGCAAAGGGTGTCATGGGTCCCTTTCTCTCAGTTTTCACTTCTCATTTGCAGAAACTGATTAGGGGCAGGAGGGGGCCAAGCAGAGGAAAGAGTTGGCAAGGTCCTCCGTGGCTTTGTTGTCACCTGGTGGTGGGCCCCTGGGGGTGGCTTCTTGGGCTGTTCTTGAGTCTCCAGGCTTGACACCCCCCCCCCCAGCCTGGGCACTTCCCTTTGCAAGACTCTCTGCCCTGGCTGCCGGCTCGTGACCTGCTCTTGGCCTCCGACTTACCAGGGATCCTCCTCCCTGCTGGGTCACCTTGCTTCAGGTGGCCTTCACGTGAAGAGCCCCTCTTAAGACCACCAAGTCCTGCTCCCTCCGGGAGAGGCTGGGGTCTCCCAGCGGGCCGACGTCAGACCCACTCACAGCTTTGCCAGACGGCAGAGGGTGATACTGCCCAGCTGGCCCCTTCACGCAAGGGTCCGATTCATTTTAAGGGGACTGTGTTGTGCTTTATGCAAAGAGGAAGGAAAGAAGGATGCATGCCAATGTGTCCCCCGAGGAGACCCCCCACTGGGGATAGGCACCTGCCCCACCATGAATTCTTCACTTTCTTTTATGCAGCCTGGAGCAGTGTTGGCAGAGGTGGGTGGCCTGGCCTCATGGGCGGTGGCCACTCCTGCCTGGCTGCCCTTGCCCCTGCCCTGGGCCGGGGCACTCGTGATGTGGCTCTCAGGCATGGGGAGGCCGTTGGACAGGACCCACGTTAGCATCCTGCCACGGAGCAGGGAGGCCTGTCAGGCCCCAGGCAGGGCGTGAGCATGAGGAGGATGCACGGGTGTGCAAGTTCTGAGAGTGTGCTAGTGTGAGTGTATAAGAGGGCAAGTGAGTGTGTGTGGCCACGTGAGAGCGTGAACATGAGCGGTGAGTTGTGTTAATGCATGTGCACGAGTGTTTATTTGATTGTGTGAATGTGAATCGTGCATGCATGAGTGTGTGCACAGGGTGTGCACATAAATGTGCAACCACAGGTGAGCAAATGTGGACGCAGTGTGAGTGAGCTGAGAGTATTGGTGTAAGAGCGGGTGCTTGTGCAAGAACACAAGTGTCCTGCATATAGTGAGTGTGAGGAGCGTATGTGAGCGCAAGAGCGTTGGCGAGTGTGTGTGTGAGCGTGTTTATGGAGCACTCGTGTCATTGCCCTCCTTGGACCCAGGCTCATGTACCCACCATACGTCCTCAGGTCCCTGGCTGAGAAGGGGTGACCTGGTGCTGTGGCTCTCCCACGCCTTCCTGTCCCCCGCTCCTGTCCTTTCCCTACCTGTACCCGATGACCAGTGGCCTCCGAGGTCCCCTAGAAGATGCCTCCTGGAGCTATTTTGCCAGGAACCTGTGGAACAGCTCAGAGGGGCCTCAGGGGGAAGCCAGCGCCACGGGATTCTCCACCATCTGTGCTGTGGTTTCCAAAGTCCGGTTTCAGACGTGTCCCCGGCTCCCAGGGCATCTCTGGGCAGGCACGCGGCTGCCACCGTTAGTCAGTCATCTCTCCCTACACCCAATGGGGGGCTCCGGGTCAGCAGATTTCAATTTTGGGGGTCGTGCAGTTTTGTTTTAAAGAGGAAATTTTGCGGCACGATCCAGCAACACAGTCATGATGATCCGAGCGAAGTCGAGGGTCCTCCTGAAATCTGTCAGTCCACACTCGCTCTTCTGGGGAGTTTCACAGAATAGTATCAGACTGATTTGTGAATAGTATCAGAGAATTTCTGAACTGGTGTTGGGGGAAACTCCACCCAGGGGTTACATAATATTTTCCAGGAGATTTTTCTTCTTTTTTTTTTTAATTAATTTTTATTAATTTTATTTAAATTTTTAAATTTAAATGTTTTAAGGTTTTTTAAAAATTTTTTTTTTAAAGCAGAAACTTTTTTTATGGCTGGGAGGGTCTCACTGCTGTGCTTCAGAGGGCCTCTGCTAGAATGAGCACCGTGGGGTTTATTTTTGGTCCCAGGGATTGAACCCAGGGGCACTTACCCACTGAGCCCTTTTGGTTTTAAGACAGGGTCTCACTAAATTGCTTAGGACCTCATGAAGTTGGTAAGGCTGGCCTGGAACTTGTCATCCTCCTGCCTCAGCCTCCTGGGCTGCTGGGATTGCAGGCAAGTGCCACTGTGACCCACATGCCTGTTTTATGTCTGTGACTGCAGTCTAGCCCCAGAGGACACTCCTTAGGTATTCACTGGGTGAATCAAGCAAAGGGAATAACGATCGGTGAAGGGGTGGAGTTGGGGGTTGAGCGTGGTTGAAGTTCTGCAGGTCCTGATGGTCTGACCCTTTTCCCTACTCATATCTTGCTCAGTCATATGCATTGCCCCCCTAGAGGAGGCTACATGTGGAGAGTTGTAGACCCTTTAGATGGCAGCGGACACAGAGAGGGCTGGTGATTTGCCTGGGGCCACATAGCTGGCGTGCACAGAGCCAGGGCCATGGGTCCACTGTCCAGGGAGCCTCCCAGACCCTCGGGTGGGAAAAGCCACCTGGGCGGTCTTTGCAGGAGGCATTGGGGGCAGGCGGGCAGGAGCGCAGGCCTCAGTGACACTGTCCTTGTGTTAGTTACAGGGCTCTCATCAGGCCCACGTACAGGGTGTCCTACCGCACGGTGACGGCGCTGGAGTGGAGGTGCTGCCCTGGCTTTACCGGGAGCAACTGTGATGAGGGTAAGTCTGCCAGGGTGCGGGGCGCCTGGGGGACAGGGCATGGCCAGGCTTGGCCGTGGGGGCCGTGGGCATTGCTCCCCACTGCCCTTGGCTTTCCACAGGTGGTTTCTAATGTGAAATTCTTTCCTTTTCCCAACACTGACCTCAACACTCTGGACTGGCCAGCCAGGGTGCAGCTGCCCACCCTGCCCTGGGCATGAGGGGGTCCTCCCAGGGTACCACCCAGGTGAGAGTTGGAGGAGCCTCCGGAGCCCGGGCTGGGTAAAGGGGTTGGATTTACAGCCTCCTCCTGCCTCCCCGGCTCCGCCAAGCCCAGGTCTGGGGCAGGCTCCGTGGGCACGTGGGTCTGAGAAAATGCAGACCAGGGCCACCAGGCTGAGGCTACGGATTTTATAGAACGAGGCAAACACCAGGAGACCTGGGGGACAGCTGCAGATGGGCCTCAGCTAGCTGTCCTGGGTGCTCAGAGGGAGGACGGATGGATGGGCCAGACCAGCACCTTCCCAAACCCCGGGGCCCCAGCTTGGCCTGATTCTGGAGCCCAGGAGACCTGAAAAGAGCCACAGGTGGGTCAGAGGTGGACGGCAGGGCAGGTCCCCGTCACACTCACAACAGGAAAAACAGTCACCTGGTTCCCCATAGAGTTAGTCCAGCAGGAAGGAGGCCCAGTGGTCAGTTTTGTATTTGGAGATAATAGTTATCCTCCATGTGGACTTGTTGACAAAATTATTGTCTCATTTTTTATTATTTAACTTATTATCATTATCATTATTTTTTGTACTGATAGGAGCCAGGTGCTCTGCCACAGAGCCACAACCCCAGCCCTTTTCATTTTGTGTTTTGAGGCAGGGTCTTGCTAACTTACCCAGGTTGGCCTCTAACTGGAGATCTTCCTGCCTCAGCTTCCTGAGTTAGTGGGATTACAGGTGTGTGCCACCATGCCCAGCTCCTAACTTATGTTTTATTATTGTTTATTTTTAAATTTTTTTTTTTTTGGTACTGGGGATTGAACTCAGGGGCACTTGGTCACAGAGCCACATCCCCAGCCTTATTCTGTGGTTTATTTAGAGACAGGGTCTCACTGAGTTGCTTAGCGCCTTGCCATTGCTGAGGCTGGCTTTGAACTCTGGAATCCTCCTGCCTCAGGCTCCCGAGCCACTGGATTATAGGCGTGCACCACTGCGCCTGGCCTAACTTCTGTTTTAAAATATGTGTATACTGTCATTCTTAGATCCATGGGGTGGGGGTTGTTCCCAGGATCCTCTGCAGATTCCCAAATCCCTGGGTGCTCTGGTCTTATTTAAATGGGGCAGTATATGCACAGAGGCCCCACCCCTCCTCCTGTATCTTTAAGTCTCCCTACATGGCTCATAATGCCTGAAGCTACGCAAATAGTTATTGGGCTGCACAGAAAAAAAGTCTGTACATGTTGCTTAAAGACACGATTGTTTTTCTGAATCTTTTTGATCTGTGGCTGGTGGAATCTGAGAGCCTCCAGACACCTCCCCTTCTGAAGGTTAGAAAAACTTGCAGCCATGTAGCTGAAAACAGATTATGAGTTTCTCTAGTTAAGTCGATGCTGCCTGTGCGTTTATTGTAAATGACCTAAAACTGGGTTACAGATGACAGCAAGGGAAATGGCAATAGTCATAATGATGGTGATGCTTCCAGGGCCCATGGCCCGGAGCAGAGCATCAGGAAGGAGCTGGACATAAAGGGGTCCACAGGTGCGGCCCTTCCTGAGTTTTGAGGTGCCTGATCCTGGGATGGGGGAGCTGTCTGTGCTTGTTGGGGTGCACAGAGCAGACCTGGGCCAGTCCTCAGGGGGACTTAGGAGGTGAGCAGGTGTGAGGATGTGGGCTTCCCAGGTGGACAGGACCCAGCGTACCCCATGTGCTGAATGACCACCGCTCCCACCATGTTCCTGTGGACACCTGAGACCTTCCAGGGCAGGACATGGACCTGCTTTTCCTGTCAGTGCCACGGCCATGGGCAGAGGTGTTTGGTCCCCCAAGAGAACAGAGAGGACCTGCTGTCTGGATTCCACGAGGGGTGAGGGGGCAGGTGTTTCTAGGAGGGTTGTCACTTTACCCTTAAGTAACTTCCAAGCCGTTTGCCACGGTCAACAGCAGGAGCAGTGCTGGGCACCACCCAGCAAAATGTGGGGTGGGCCCCTCTGGGCGCCTCCCACCGAGGCCTATTTTTGGAGGGCTTCTCTTAGCATCAGAAGGATTTGGGCTCATCTCCGCTTCCAGGGCTCGGAACTCCACCCGAGTCCCGTCACCAGCGTCTCCCGTGTTCTCCTGTCTGCCACCCCCCATGTCACCCCACCCTGCAGGATGGGCTAGTTCTGAGAGTAACCTTGCCTGGCTCACCTGGGGCCCTTCCTCCTCCCCCAGAGACCACTGCGGGGCTGGGGCATCCTATTTTAAAACCTCTCTTGAGATTCTCTTTATTGAACCAATGAACAAACTACCGAGGGAAGTCTTCACGTCTCAAAATGTTTACATCATAAATTTCATGGAAGTAGATAGTGACTTTTCTTTGAAGGAACCAGCAGTATATCGAAGCTGATTCGAAAGATCAGAGAAGCTAAGGTATCTCCAATCCATCCCTCCATCTACCTACCTGACCATCTTTCCTCCCGTCTACCCATCTGCCCATTGTTTATGGTTTATTGCAGCAAAAAAAGAAAAAAAGATTAAAGTCAGCCAATATAAAAGAAGGATCACCAAGTTTGGGGCTGGAGTGGTGGCTCAGTGGTGGAGCACTGGCCTAGCATGTGTGAGGCCCTGGGTTTGATCCTCAGCACCACATATAAATAAAAATAAAGGTCCATTGATAACTAAAAAAGAATATTAAAAAAAAAGTCACCAAGTTCCACCTGTTAGGCACAGAACTTTGGAGTTATCCTCTCGACTGCATTGAGACCCCCGGATTCTCGCCAGTTTTGTGGAGGTTGACATCCAACTTTGCAGGGTCCGCGCTGTATGAAATTCCTAATGAATGACAACTCAGACCAAGCAGCAGTCTTCCAGGTGCTGGCTGTCACGTGGATGGGCTCATGCGATGGTGCCCTACCACGACATTGGAAGGCTAGGCCGTCTTGGATAATCACTGGGGGCTGAATGGCTAAGGGCAGCAGGTCACTCTGGGCAGGTGGGAGGACCACGGGGCACAACCCTGGCTGCTGCTCCAGAGGCCCTGAGCACGGGGACAGGAAGCCGGGGAAGTGGGGTTGTGGGCCTGTCCTACCCCATAGAGGGGGCAGGGCCAAGGGGTGGGACCTGTGAAAGGCCCCTGTGGGCTTGGTTCCCCTCCAGGAGAAAGTTCTTATCTGACAGACCACATTATGTCGATCATCAACACGCTCCAGACACAGCCGGGTTTTGTGGGTTAATTGTGAGGACTTGCCTGCCCCTCTCACCCCTCTCACCGGTCTCAAGACGATCAGCCTCAGAGCCACGGCGGACCCCTCCCTGCTGAGGAACCTTCCAGACTCACCCACTTTGGGACAAGTGTCCAACTCGGGATGGGGGACAAGGGTGGCCTCTCAGGGTGCCTTCCCAGCTGCGGTCAGGAGGTTGTGACATCCCCAGCTGGGGGAGTTGGTCGTTGAGGAATTCAGGGGCCCTGTGGGCCTGGGTGGAGTGTGGGACGGGCTCCTGAAGCCCTTGGAAGGATTTTATATACAGCCAGGGGCTGTGGTGCATGCCTGTAATCCAGCACATCAGGAGGCTGAGGCAGGAGGATCGCGAGTTCAAAGCCAGCCTCAGCAATTCAGTGAGACCCTGTCTCTAAGTAAAATATAAAAAAATATAAAATACATAAAAAAGGGCTGAGGATGTGACTCAGTGGTTGAGCACCCCTAGGTTCAATCCCTGGTCAAAAAACAAAAAAGATTTTACGTTTCCAAACATGAACCAATAAAGATGACACCCTAAATCAAGGCCACACCCAGGACTTTGGGTACATTCCTAACATGGTTGTTGGGGGCCCTAACCCTTCATTCATGTTTGCTGTCATTTGTACCTCTCTTGGCAACCCTGAGGGGTGACGAGGGGCCATCCAGTCACCCAGTGAGTTTTGCTATGGTTCAGATGTGACTCCTTCCCTGGGTGTAGGTCTGGGGCCTGGGTATGCTCCCCTTCACAGATCAGCTCCATGCTGATTTGAAAATCCTCATTCACCTATTTGCTAAAATGCATTTGTGGCCCTCAAGTCAGTGCTCCCAGTGGGTCACTCCCAGACGTGGACAGACAGTGAAAACACGGAGCCCCCCCACCCACCTGTGTCCCAAAGAGGCCAATGATGCGACCTCTGCTTCCTTGCTCCAGTTCTCACACACGAGTGTCTTATTTAGTGATACGTTCTCCACATTTTGTCCTTTTCCGTGGTGATTTATGTGGTGTTCCTAAGTACAAGAAGGTGCCGCGGGCCTCGAGGAGAAGACCTATAGGAGCTGAGCTTTGTTCAGATATCACGATGGTGCTGTTGGCCACCAGGTCAAAGTCCGTGGACCCACAGTAGGTGTTAAATGAGGTGCCTTGAAACAGAAGCACAAGCACAATAGGGTTTGTGACTGTCAGCTGTCGAGGAAGGTCGCAGCTGGGGACTTTCAGAAGTCCAACTCTAAGATTCGGTATTCGCTAACTCAGTATTTGCTGTGACTTTGTAGAACATAACACCGTGTGCCGTTAGGGTCAGCTGTATTTGTGTTTATCTATGTATCTAGGCATCATTTTTTCCTTATTATGAACAGAAGTATAGATCCCTGACTTACGATGATGAGAATAATTTTCCAACTTTTTGAAGATGTGAAAGTGGCAAGCTCCATAGAAACCTTACTTTGAGGACTAGGACTGTCGCTCAGTGCTTATGAATTTGGGTCTCGTCTTGCATGGTCTAGGGATTTGCCATAAGACCACTCCTTGCGCTGGAGTCTGTGGCAGTGAGTCCCAGCTCTCAGTCAACTATGTGACCAGGGCAGGAACAACTGA